TCTTGTCTAAAATTAAAAAGAATGAAAATATTTACTCAAAATAAAAGCCGTTATTCGGGCCATGTCCCTTTCTCTTATTACAATAATATGTATTTTGAAACGCGCTCATTCTGGATGCGTAACATAAATTCAAATAGTAACTCTAACATTTGAAAAAGTTTGAAAAGCCCGGAATTTTTAACAGAAGCCGAAGACATCTTCAGAAATGCACCTATGACTATGAACTTACATTGTCCTAACACTACTTCTTCAAAAAATTCTTGCCAAGACACAGATCCGCACCCCAGTTCGTTGGACGAGTGCCAATGACAGTACCACGACACCGCCACATCTTTTGGATTTCGGATGACGTTGACAATTTTTCTCCCTGACCGGAAGTGCTCCTGTGGTAACCACCGGTAGGGCATATGGGAATTAAACACCCTGGGGGAGGGCAGTTTGTCTAGAGAGGACAGGTCACTTATCATGTCCAGGAACACGTGCTCTCTGGTGAGAGGGTGGTACTCTGGTTTTCCTTGAAGAAGCATAACAATTATCTCCCAGACCCAATGGGTTCCTGTTGGAACACAGCAAAATACATAATTATTCCTATAAACAAGGTTGATTTCAAAGTGATAAAATCTTTTAAAAATTAATAATTAAAATAAAAAATCAAAAATATAGAACTTGGTTATTTCCTCATCAATGAATTATCCATTCCATTTAAAAGTAACTTTTAAGGAGTTTAACTTCAACGAAAGAAAATAAATACTAGTTATTAAAATCAGAGATACTTACGAAGGAAAATTGAATGAGAAATTTATCCAAATGTTACTGCTTATAAAGTAAGTTAGCGACCGACGATCTACATTGAAGCTTTGTTTGTAATATTTTCAAATATTTGTCGGGCTGGGGTGAATTCTTAACTTAGAACTAAAGGGAAGAACTTTATAGATTTGAGAACTATGTTATCTTAATGATATACATTGTAGTCATTGCTATTCACGGATATTTACAAGTTATCTGGGATCCCTATCTAATTAAAAGATTTCCTTATACGGATAATTACGAATTACGGATATAGCGAAGTACTGTAAATCACTTTTTATTCGCGAGAACTTTATTTTCGCGTAATTACGCGAGACAGTGTACTCGCGAAAATTTAATTCTCGCGTTTAATAGTATTCCTTAAGAATATATAGAGCAATAGCCACAGTTCGCGAAAATTTTGTCTCGCTAATCAAGAGTCAATGACTATCTCGCGAAAATAAGATGTCGCGAAAATTTAGTGATCTACAGTAATTTCATATGTCATAGTGACTTCGTTATAACCGAGTTTTACTATATATGACTTACCACACTTGGGAAACGTTATCATAAGCACATCATCTTCTCGAGTTTTCATGTTACGTAGCGCTTCCAGGTGTTTTTTAGCATCGGCTGCTAGCGGTGGAAAAGGCGGGAAACAGCAGCCATCAAAATGAACCAAATCCTCAAATGGCATATCTGAGAAGTATATACCTGTAAATGGCTTAAATTATTAATCGATGATATTGAAATACTTCTTAGAGAAAAATTAACGTAATATATACTGATTAGGAATCATTGCACATTTTATAAAATAATTTATGCAAGCTCGGAGTTAAATTACTCCCTGCCTGACGCAGGGGTTTGAGCGTTTGCTCTCGAGTTGTGAATTAAAGGGGGTTGGTTGATCCTTACGTCGCAGGTTCGAATCTCACTGCGGGACGCAGGGACAGGCCCGTAAAAACTGAGGTTCCGTGTCACAGTAAGTGCTTGCATGTAAAAGATCCCTCATGCACTGTTCAATGGCCTTGAGTGAAACGTGAAGGTCTTAAATTTACAGTCCTACGCCGACAAGTGTAGGCATCTCCATATGAGTGGAATAAAAATGCTCAAGGGGCGTTAAAACAAACACACAAATATGTGCGTTTTATACCAATGACATACCATCTTATGTCAGTAAAGCAAGTACCATGCACATCGTATTTTTTGAATGAATTTTAAAAAATATGGAAATACATGTACCTACCTTACCTGAGGATGCTTCTGAATTAATACGACTAATAAAAGATTTGCTATTCTTGGGAAGATTTTTAACGATTTCTCCTATGTAATTGCAAGTCATTTGATCATAAATTATGGCCCCTCCTTAACCTTGGTGATTCAAAATTTAAACAATATTGAATTTAAATTACTAGTACCTGAGGAAGCGTCCATATATAAATGTACAATCACTGCTTTATCGTTCCCGAGAAGAAAATTAAAAAAAGAAGATTTTTTATATGTTTACCTTTGATCACCTCTTGTGACCCCCAAAACCCCATTGCTCATGACCTAGGAAGCTTTTACATGTTTCATCTTTTCGGACCCAGTGGTTCTAAAAAGGAAGACTATTTAAACTCCCAACCAAACCCTACTATTTCTTAGTTATTTCCCCCTTGAAAAGGGCATAGCCCTTCATTTGATCAAGCTTGAATCCCCTTTACACAACGATACTCTATGTCAAGTGTGCTTAAAATTAGTCATGTGGTTGTAGAGAATTAAGCTGAAAATATGAAATGTTTACTACAACGACGACGACGATAGAGAAAGCTCACTTGAGCTTCGGCTCAAGTGAGCTAAGACTAAAGAGAGAGAGTGCGTGTGTGAGAGAGTGTGTGTGTCACTGTGTTTGTGTTATTGCTACCTTCTAGACAATGACAGTAGACGGAATGAGGGCACGTTTACTGAATACATTTTCAAAATTTTACCTGATTACTTAGACCCATTTTTTTATGTGAAATCTGGAAGGGAAACTTTAAATACTATTACATAATTAAGCTTGTGAGGTTCACCTGTGCTTAAGTTTGAGAGTCTAAATCTTTATTCTCAAATTTGATCTATCGCTGTCAACATTCCTTCTAGGACGGTTCTATACAAGGACTGATTTATAGATTGATACACAAATGCAGACAGGTATATATATTATTATAATAGAGATATTCCAATGTAATGTATGTCAGACGTTAAAGTTTTAATTTACAAAAGTCATATGATTCTGAACAAGTGACCAAAGTCTAAAAATAATCAATAAACATGCAACTCACCTGCACTGTCTGGCTTCCCACTAGCAATATCCGTCGCTTAACTCCGAACAAAAAGTGTGAAATACAGGCAAGTTTTTCTTTGTTAACTAGCTCTGACAAAAAGTCGAACGTCAGAAACCTTCAAGCAATGTTGATAATAAGATGATTTGTTTACACTCCGTATACGACAACTACTTGTCATGGTTTGACCAGTTATTTAAAAAGGCACTATGTAATTTATGGACTGGAAATTTAGAGACAAGCTTTGGTGGAATGACACACCTTCCGTTTTCTTATTAACTATGGCCCGCCTTGAATATGTCCGGGGCATATATAGAGTTTGTCTTGTCCTGCCATCCTTCTGTCTTTTTGTCCTTTCGTCATTATATCCTTCCGGCTCACTAAAAGCATTTAACTCAGTTCAAATTGCTAAGTTTCAAAGAAACTGTTCAAGATATTTTCATGAAAGGTCATACACTGATACATATGGATAAAAACCAGTCAACTGCATCATCATTTTTTGAATTTGACCTTTCCTTTGATCTTGACCTCACATTTCTTAGACTAGTGTTTAACCCAATTTTGAAGAAACCATTTAAGAAAATGGAATTAAATCTCATATGCTGATACACGTACAAACTGAAGTAAGCTTTTCAACTAGATCAACATTTTTTTACCTAAACGTTTCCTGACATGACATTTTTTTTTATTAGTGTTTAGCTCATTTTAAAAGAAACCATTGAAGATATTTTTTATTAACTTCATGCGCTGATAGATATTGGTAAGAGCTGTGCAATTGCATCGACATTTTTTGACCTTGACCTTTTTCTCACATTAACCTCACCTTTCTTTAAATAGTGATTAGCTATAACTCATTTTTTTAAAGAAATCGTCCAAGAAAGTGTTATCAATTTTCATATACTGATACATACTGTAAGGAGATATTTTTCTTTGATCTTGCTTCATTTTTTTTAATTAGTGTCAAACTTCATATGCTGATACATACTGCTGTAAACGATTCAACCACATCAACATTATTTTTTACCTTGACATTTACCCCACTTTTCGAAAGAATTGTGTTCAGCTCAAGTTTGAAGAAACCATTCATGAGATATATATATATATTTTAAATTTCATATGCTAATCGAATTGATATAAGCTTTTTAACTGCGTAATCTTTTTTACTCGACCTTTCCTTTGACCTTGATCTTATATTTTCTCATAAATTAGTGTTAAGATCATTTTAAATAAACCATTCAATTTAATTTATTTAACTTAATACGCTGATAAATACAAGTAAGAGATATTCAATTGCATCAAAACGCTTTACCCTGATGTTTCTTGTGACTTTGACCTCACTTTTTTAAAATATGGCTTTAATATTTGGCATGTATAACAGCCCCTGTATATTTTTGGGGGGAAGGGGGTAAAAACATATATATATATATATATATATATATATATATATATATATATATATATATATATATATATATATATATATATATATATATATAGAGAGAGAGAGAGAGAGAGAGAGAGAGAGAGAGAGAGAGAGAGAGAGAGATATTTTTAAACCTTGAAGTTTGACTATATTTTTAGGAAACATGAACATTACATGTAACTATAACTTTTAAACGGTTGGTTTCAAAGCTGTCATGGTTATAGGTTTACATTTATGCCTTGTGAGAGGACCTTAACTAAATACTTTTGACCTTGACCTCGGAGTTTAACTTTTTGAAATAATAAAATTCTCTAAATATATCCAGTACTTTTGAACAGTTAAGGCTAGGGCTTTCAAATTAAAACAGGTGTATTTTTGTGACAAGACCATCCCAGATTTAAACCTTGGTCAAAATTTTTGAATAGGTTTTTATATTTCATAGATAACAAGATCTTACCGTGAGTACCAATAATTTGACCTTTTGACCTAAACCTTGGAATTTGCCTTTCTTTTGAAAAAAATGTCTGTTATTTAACAATCTTGTGTCTGTTGTGTGTCTGTATTGACTTTGAGAAATAATCGATGGTGGATATACATGGTTGGGCGTCGGGGGTTGGGGTTGATGAAGAAAAATATGTTTCGGAATATCAAACTACTGCTTTACGTTTATTATAAAACGTTTTGGTATGGTTATACCATTAACTTTTTTTCTAGTGAAATAAAAATGCTTCTGTACTTTATTAATTATTATAATGTTTTGTTATGAGCTTGAGTTTAACGTTTTTTTTTCTGGTAAAATATCCAAGTATGAAACAGGTGTGAAAAAAAAAACTTTTTGGTGTCTTTTATTCCAAGTTCACTTGGATAAATCGAATCGACATATGAGTGAAAGTAATAATTTTTGAATTTTATTACATCGTCGATATGTATCTAAATGTCGAGTAGAAGGCCACTTAAAGTGTTTTCTTCTTCTCTTGAAGAAGTTTTTGAATAAATTCTTCTTCTTAGGAATATAAAAACACGTCAGCTTATAAAGGCGCATAACTTGTGCCCATAGGATTTACAACAGTTTGTTGGAAGACCTTATCTCGAAGTATAAGAAAACAATTAAGATTTTTAAGTCTGAATATTTACTTCCATTGAATATTATTTTCTTTATTCGTTAAGAAACCCGATCTGTAAACGTCGCCAAGCAGTCTGCATATATAGATTTTCTAACAAGTGGTTGATCTATCATGCAATGAAACGTAGACTAAGGTATACATTAATAATGCGATATTTCATTTACCTATTATTCATGTATATGTCCCATGAATTGATCTCTATACATATTGCTTTTGGACAGACATTGATGCCCACCGTTCAAACTATTTTAAACTAAATCCCAGTTCCACATACAAAATCCTGGATTGCTACTTTGGTGAACCTCTTTGGCCCCCTATTGCACTTCATCTTCATTAGCGAAGATGATTACGCTTGGGCGACAAAGCAACATTGACAAAAATGATTTTTTCGATAAATTATCGTGAAAAAAGACAAACATTCTGAAACAATCTTTCTCTGAAAACGAAAAAAAAAAAAATTCTTGAAAGGGTATTAGTGCTTGGTAAAATTTTATGCGAAATACCTTCTGTTATTTATTTTTTATGTATGTGTGTAATTTTAATCACCAAATTTAGGGCCTGGCTGCTGGAAAAACTTTCAAAAGTCCTACTAAATCTCTTATGACTTACCGGGTATTATTGGCCGAAAACTTCGGCAGTTGCAAATTGTTTTTATAAATCCGTCTTATACTTAGATTTCTGATTTGATCTGTCTTGCATGGTAGAACTACATACACTTCAATTTGTTATTTCAAATTATTTTTAATTTGTTTCATCCTATGTTTACCCCTTTATACCGTGGATATGACTCACTGGAAAATGTTTTGATATCCCACAGTTGTGATGTCACAATAAGATTTGCGATTGAGTGATGAAGTAAAATAAAGTGGTGTCTTTTATAAAATCAGTGAAGAAAAATTGAAAATGATTCTATCAAACGTGGGATAAAAAGAATCTCCCATGATTTGTAGGATTCGATTTTTCTCCAACTCATGTGTTTTTATCCCTTCGCCAATGCCCAGGGATAAAATTACACACAATTTATTGGATAAAAACCGAATCATTGGAGATCCTATATATCAAATTACTTCATCTGTTGTAACAAATTGATAATTTGTAATATGAAACTAATTATTTATTATATCAAATTGATAATTTGTAATATCAAATTGGTAATTTGTAATGTGAAACGTATGGAGATAACGAATAGTATTCAAGCTCAAAAGTCTATAAAACAGGAGCAGAGGAAACAAGGACCTCCAACACTTCAGAGATGGGATCAGGTGCCACGGAGGAGTGAGCATCCCATGCCGACCGGTCACACCCGTCATGTGCTCATTGTAATGATCGGGAAACAACGGAAATAAATAACTCACGATAAGTATGAAAAACGTCAGTCAGCATTTGACTCAATGATAAATTGTATTTGCTGGCAAGGTCATTGTATCCACCATAATATATAACTTACGAAATGATGAGGTTAAACGAGATTGCTGATATTCTTGTTTTATCAACTCATTTGTCAAAAATTAACCTCTTTTTAGAAATTGTACATGTACATACGTAGAGCATGCTCTTGCATATCGAATTAACTGAGAGATATAAACCCCGTATGCAGGTGATGAAGGTATATAAAGTAAGGGAAATTGGCCATATAGACCATATATGTATCAATAAGAAGTTTAGAAGATCTTTGCAGGATACCAGAGTCAAACGAACAGCAAACGTAGCCTCAGATCACCATCTACTGACAAGCTCAAGAAAATGAAAACAGAAGGAAACTCTCAGAGAATCAGACATAACACCAGGTTTATCCAAGATACTCAAATCTTACAGGAGTACAAAATTGCGGTGAGAAACAAACACCAGTCCCAGCAGTTGAAGATCATTGGAAAGGAATAAAAGAAACCATCACAACAAGCTGCCCTGAAATACATGGAGTGAAAAAGTACCATCATAAAGACTGGATCACAAATGACACGCATAAGCAAGTACAGGAGAGGAAGGTCAAGAAGGCCGTGGTCAATTCAAGCAGAACAAGAGCTAAAAAAGCAAAAGCACAAAAAGAGTATGCAGAGGCCAACAAGAGAACAAAACAAAGTATTAAAGCTGACAAATCAAGGTGCATCGAGGAACTAGCAACATAAGCAGAACAAGCTGCAAAAGGAGGAAACATGAAAGATCAGTATGACATCACAAAAAAGCCAGCTGGGAAGCGAAGTAAACAAGAAAGGCCAGTGAAAGACAAAGCAGGGAAACAACTAGAAGGGGAAGAAGAACAAAGAAGGAGATGGAAAGAACATTTTGAACAACTCTTGAATAGGCCAGTTCCACGTAAACCTCCTAACACCAGCAGACGAAGACCTAGACATAGACTGTGGATCTCCTAATAAGGAGGAAATAAAAATAGCCCTAAAACAGATGAGGAATAGCAAGTCAGCAGGACCTGATACTATTACAGCCGAGGCACTCAAAGCTGATTTTGAAAACTCAGCCAACATACTCCACCCAAGTTGGCGATTGAAAAGTTAAAGTCATCGCGTTTATCATAGAGCTTGGTAGTTAGCTAGATTACAATTAACGTCTTTTAAAAGTAAAAGATCTATGTGTCAGACTCTGTAGTATTT